CCACATTAAAAGGTCCTTAAAATGGATCCTACCTCGAACAAGAGAATTCCAGTGCACAAAATTAAAATCTATTCACTTAATATTTATGTATAATATGATTTATCGATTATCACTTTTGTCTCTCTTGTGCTTTCTCAGTCTCAGGTTTTCGGAACAATTTTGTGTGCATATCTCATGTTTTTCTTTCGCGGTCTGTGTCCATTCCATCTCATCCTCCTTAATTTAATGATTTTAAAAATATCAAGTGAAGTGGACAATTTATGAAGATCCTCATTTTGAAATTATTAGCTTTTTCCTACCAACTTCCCTTCTTCCAGGTCCAGATATTCTGAAGCACCCTCAATATATGTTCGAAACAGAAAACCGTACAGTCAACATGGATTTCATCGCCAGTCAGTTATAAACGATATCCCATAAACATAAACATTTTTACTTAACGGCTGATGTTTATGTAAATAAACGAATGGTGTGTTATTCAAGGCATTTTGTGGGCACGTAACAATTCAAATACATTTTTACTGTTGACATAACTTCCATCTTTCAAAACAAAAACATTTAACTTCCACGTGTTAATCCGCAATAGCATTTTATAATATGGCTGCAAATTCAGTCCCATGAAATAGGAACATTGTGATATTTTCTTCAATACGAGTAATTCGTCCATATGAGGCAGTAAATTGTTAGCTTGTCGCAGGAATTTGTCAGATCATTACATTATTCGACCATACACCCTTGGTTTCATTAGTTCTCAAGCCTATTTTCTTTGTTGTTTCATTAGAGTGGAAAATACAAAGCTGTCCGTATCTTGACTTCGTTGTTTCATTTGGATATAGCGATGATACCAAACAGTATCTCCGACCGTGCATCCGGAAACACTACGGATAATTTCCGGATGTCGACTTATCTCCGTATACAGTAATGCGAATGACACTACTGAGTTCTACTTTCATACATATTTTCTGCAGTTACCTGCCCGTGTGTATCGCCCTTAAACAGCTCTTGTATTAGAGCAGTCAAGTGGAGACTCCATCGGCATTCCCGCGAACTCATTGCAACTGGCAAGGAGCGGAAGCATACCTAAGCGTCGTGTGAGTTTCTGTGTGTGATTTTATTACCATTTTTACCATCTTGATATTTCGTCCCATATTATTACTGCCTTTTTCAAAACTTTACCGACTATTTCAACGATCGATTTCGGCTACAATTTCAGGTGAGGAAATTCTGAGGAGGATTTAAACAGGCAAACGAAATGGAAGGGCCATTATGAGGAGGAAGTAGGTAGGAATTTGAAAGGAGGTGGTTATGGTTATTTTCATTGTAGTCCAGAAATTCACCACATCCCAAAGTTTCATTATTCTCCTTAACAACTTATCTGCAACTACCTCAATCTTCCTTTAGTCATCAAAGGAAAGACAAATATTCACAACTATATAATGCTGCAAGCAAATTACAGTTGCATATATTTAAATTATAAATTATTTTAGTGGAGACGGACATGTGAAAGTTCCTGATTTGAATGGTAGCAAGCGTCTAGAACTTATCTGGCCTTAGTCAAGAACATTTGTCATTTCCAAATATCCTGAGATTCGCCGAAGTTCGAAGAATGTAGTATCAGCTTATATAAAGATTAGGTCCTCTCATGCAAATCAGATGAACCTGATGGGATCGTCTGAAGTTTCTGCACTACTTTCAGAGGCGAGCGAATACAGACAGTGCTTACCCTCGTGTGGTTATGAGAAGAGGCTAAGATGATGTTACACCGACAGAGGTTTGCTCTCCCAAGCTCAACTCTTTCTTCCAACTCGAGGCATCGCCTCGGGTTCGTCGTCACGCTCGCTACTTTGCATAAGCGCCCTGGGGACCACTGACTAGCAACCAGTCTACTGCGTTAAGGGATGTGGTCCCTTTCCACGAGAAGGGAACAGAATTTACAAAGTGATTGCTTCACAGATATCAACGACCCTGCATCACTTGGGCAAACCGTACAGTGCTGGTTGGAACATGAGAGCAACAGATTCTTAGGTTATTCAACTTCAACACATAGCCGTGTAGTGATTCTTATTCTGGAAGGCACTGGCACCAACTATGTCCAGCATAATTTGTAAGCTCAATCGCCTACACTTTTTCTTTAATTCATTGGCTTACTTTCTTAATTTTGAAAAAAAAATAAAAGTAGGCTTATGATATTAGCATGTTTTCTGTGTATCCCCACTTTCGGCTTTTGAATGGCTGAACAAATCTTTATGAAACTCGATACGTATATGTCATGGCACCTGAGCCCATCTCAACGGCGTATTTCATAAATCCCTCTATCAGTCTGCGTGCCTGTATGTGTACCCACTTATCGTTACTTGGCAACGTCTTGGTAAAAATGTTACCACAACAACGAAGAGACACGCAGCAATAGAATAATTGTTGGACGCTTCGTTTTCCATGCGGTCCATTACTCATCAAAGGAAAATATACGATTAATTATTCCCAGAATTTCTTGTAATTACAACATTGTGGGAGTTTCTTCAATTTCCTTCTTCCCTGCAGACAAACAATGGGTTAGTAACTTAAAATATACCGCGCCATTGCTCAAGTGGTTAGTCACTGGCGTTCCACCGCGGCGGCCCAGGTTCGATCCCGGGTCTGGCCAAGTGGAATTTGTGGTGGACAAAGTGGCTCTGGGGAAGGTTTTCTCCGAGTACTTCCGTTTCCCCTGCCAATCTTCATTCCACCAATTGCTCCACAAATCATCTGCTGCTGGTACAATAGGCCAGAAGTTGCCGCAGTACAAGGGACTTAGTCCCACCCCACTGGCAATGAAGAAAAAATTTGTAATATATCACGACAGCTTCGTTCCTCGTCCCTTCCAATTTTTAATTCACTGTTATCCTAATATTTGACACTAAAATTTGGCAAGGCGCCGATAAATAAATCCTTATAAATTAATCTCTATTTAACACTGCGTAGAATGATATGAAAGGTTGGTGATGATTTCCTCAAAGCCTTACACTGGCTTCGAGAGAATGAGGACAGCCAGAAAGAAATTTAACTGCTGTCGCCGGTACCCTGGATGAGATCATCAGGGTAAAGGAATTAAGGACAGAAAGCGAGAGAAAGAAGGCGGCCGACTGGAATGACAGGGTGATTCGGATGAAAGCATTCCCTCCGCCCTCTCACCCCATGCTCATTACTGCGATAAGACACAGAAAACCGCACACAAATCTGATGCACAAGAACAGTTACGGAGGTCACAATGACTTGGGGAGGGCTGACGTGATAAGGGAATGGCCTTACGACTAACCATGGGGGCTTTCCCAAGTCTCTAAGGGGGTGAACGCTCATTTCGGCGGGGGCGATGTATGGAAATTGTACCTGAATATTGGCAGAGAGACCAACGTGATACAAGTCTCCATTTCTTGACAGGGTTTAACATGATATGTACTGAAAATATAAAGCTCATTGCTCTTCCCTAAGGAACAACGAATACTAACTTCGAGTAACGGTTCCAACAGACCATCTCTAAGATACTGGCTAAGCAGTTAATAAGGAGTCACTAAATAAAGCTAGAAACACACGTTATTAACATCTTGTTTGCCAGGCACGTGATATCTCGCTTAAACCATTACCCTTCCTGATCTGCATTTTGGTGTTTTGATAAGGTTGGGAAAGAAAATTGTCCAGCTATCTCATATATTAATATTATGTTATATAAATATGATATCTGGGCTTGAACTGACTTATCACAGGATTTGACATTCATTTAGTTCAAATAAGATAAAAGGTAAAGATAAAACTCTTCCTGTAACAGCCATGAAGGCCCATAGGATTGTGGAACGTTGAGGCTCTCACATGTGCTTTAGACAATCGGCTCAAAGATGGCGGTGAGGTTGTCAGTCTTAAGCGCAAATTACCGCCAGCAATCTTCCTGGTACTCATTTCTATTAAGAGGTTAAGTCGATCCCAGAACTATAGAGCGTCGGGAAGAATTAGGTAAATTGAAAAATTCACCTCATCGGGACTCGAACTAGCGACATTCCAGTTTGTAGCAATCAACTACGCTACAGCGTGCCCTAGTTGAAATATGGATCCGTTGAAAGTTCAGCTCAGAAATGAGTATACACAGAAGAGCAAATACTGTACACTGCAAATTTCCTTGCCCCTCTATTTTATTACGCATTAACCTCTCGAATTATTGATCCTAATGAGATCCACGTTGCATGACGAACATACACCTTCTGTAAGATGAAATACTAGCAATTCTGATAAATATTATGACATGCGGCTTCAGCTCCACGTAGAAACATGGTTTATATTGAGCAGACACAGACCAACATAAAATTATCCAACATATTATCTCTCACTATCAACTTCAGGGTTCGATTCCCAGTATAGTTATTCTTCTCTTTGCTACAACTGTACCTAGGCTGGCTGTGCTCCAGACACGTCTCCAACCAAATGGATACTAGGAATCTCAATATTAATTAGCCATATTCTGGCAACGGATTTATCACAGTCTCACTGTCACTTCAGCTCACACATGAAGTCTTCTTGGCATAGTCTAACTCCTTTATTGCCATTTCCTCTCAATCACCTTGGACTGCCATATCCAAGACTCGATCCCAATTCCCTCGACTACTGTTCTATAGTCCGTCCCGTCTTCTAACTGTACCCTTTTATAACCCATTAGCACAGACTCCATGGAAAACACCGTTTCTATTGTTTAGGATTCGTGTCTACTAGTACGTTACTTAGCAACTGATATCCTATTGTCGCGTGGTCGTGCGTTGTGGGAATGTGTTTACCGACCCGTTGCCTAGCAATGGGTATGCGGTTCACAATATTAATATGCAGCCAATTTGGTATGTCAGCAGCTTGACGATGTTGAATTGCAGGTGGCTACAGTGTCGGTGGGGACTTGCGCACAGACCCCGGGGTGTCCGCGGCGTCCCAGGCTACAAGGGCTGCTTCTCCTCAGTGGTACTGTAGCGGGCGCGACAGTCAGACGTCACTTCATCGTCCTGGCAAGACGCGACGAGTCGGTTTCAAGCTAGTGATACGCGTTGTTAAAGTTAGTGTCGTCACTGCAGGGACAGCGCCTCGAGTTCTAGAAAAGTGGCATCAGTCTTGATTTCAACCATCGCTCGACCCGTTCATATATCGCACGTGGATTTCTATGTGACAATCAGAAAACGGAATGGCAATGTGCAGTAACAATTTATGTTATCTCTTCACGTGATTTCACTTCAGTTCGTTTTAAAAATTAGCAAGTAACGAAAATAAGAAATTTACCTTCACAAATAACCTTTATTCTTATAACATTACCATCATAGTAATTTACTCATGGCCCTAATTTACGGGTACGTACAACAGAGTTTGGTCAAGCACTTAGAGGCAATAAAAGAACAAAAACAAACTCCGTGGTTTTAGTCCGCAAGTGAACTATACCGACCGAGCCGCAAAGGTTACATTCATAGTGTATCACGCGTTTCATCTTGCACTGGGTCTGTTTTTATTACAGATACAAATGTTTAGTTATGTTAGTCTAGTCGAAAACAACTCGATCACGAGTCAAAGAGAACTGTCAGCTTCGAGTTCAACTCTCAGAACAACTTGTACTCCAATGAGTTCCACCTACGTTTGTGGAGGAGCAGCCCTTACATTCTTCTCACATGCTTGTTTGTATCACAACAAACCCAGTTTAGAAAACACGTCATTAAACTGAACACGCGTTTCTGGCTTATACAGCTATAAACTGACTAGATATTCCATTCCTTTGAATACAGAAAGTTGTTACATACATTTATAACCGTATGACAACGTCAAAGGAGCACTATTACCAAACACCTAACTATATTTAATGCCGTTACTGAAACACAAAAGTGACAGAACGACTAGAGGAAACAAAAATAAGACAGCGTCACATGAAAGATCTGAATAACAAGAAAGTAATTCATTAGTCTCTAGCAAGGAAATGCGTGTACGATTTTCATTTATACAAGTGCCTGATGACGAAAGACATATGATACCTTTCAGTAAATCACCATGGTAACGACGGATATACACAACCATCTGATTGCGAGCTTCATATGCTATTTTAGTCACAGTATAAGTGAGTGTACCGCCGGTTTAGCCCGTCACTAAGGTGAGTTCAGTGACTTGCGTGTTGGGTTATAAAAGTCAGTACTAATCACCACAGAGTTTCGTCATGAACTCAGACGCTAAGTGATACATAAAAATTTAACAGTCCACTAACAATAAAACGCGTTTTATTTCAGGAGTGTTGTTTTTATTAACGGTTCTTTCAATTAGATGTAACGGTAATGACACGTTAACTAATCGTGCTAACTTAAATGTGTTTTCGGAAGCTCAGCGCTGTGTTCCGGTGCATGACTATATAGATTATACAGTCGATTAGGGTAATAAATAACACAGTAGATAGGTCTCATCTCAGGGGATAAAGTAGTTACTGCTTCAGCAATTAGGGAAAGTATATTTTCGAATTGTGGCAAGAGCAATAGGATATTTAGTTAGTTCTCTCTTACGGAAGGAGCAGAAAGTTGTCGGAAAATATAGTTAACCTAAAACCTCAAACACTCAATTATTTTGTGTTTGGCTTTGATTCTCTTCTAAGAAAAACGTTTCAGACATATTCAGTTTTTATTGTTCATGTGTCTGAAATGGAACTTCGTAAGGAAAACGTAGCACAGCATAGCAAATCGCAGCTTACTTCAACTTCTAAGTCTTCAATGGATTTGTTTTCGATTTTTCTGTTGTTTAAAATGAAGTAAAACGTGATAAATCGTAGCTTACTTAAATCTAAATCTTCAATGGATTTGTTTTCGATTTTTCTGTTGTTGAAAATGAAGTAAAACGTGATAAATCGTAGCTTACTTAAATCTAAGTCTTCAATGGATTTGTTTTCGATTTTTCTGTTGTTGAAAATGAAGTAAAACGTGATAAATCGTAGCTTACTTAAATCTAAATCTTCAATGGATTTGTTTTCGATTTTTCTGTTGTTTAAAATGAAGTAAAACGTGATAAATCGTAGCTTACTTAAATCTAAATCTTCAATGGATTTGTTTTCGATTTTTCTGTTGTTGAAAATGAAGTAAAACGTGATAAATCGTAGCTTACTTAAATCTAAGTCTTCAATGGATTTGTTTTCGATTTTTCTGTTGTTGAAAATGAAGTAAAACGTGATAAATCGTAGCTTACTTAAATCTAAATCTTCAATGGATTTGTTTTCGATTTTTCTGTTGTTTAAAATGAAGTAAAACGTGATAAATCGTAGCTTACTTAAATCTAAATCTTCAATGGATTTGTTTTCGATTTTTCTGTTGTTGAAAATGAAGTAAAACGTGATAAATCGTAGCTTACTTAAACCTATAAGTCTTCAATGAATTTGTTTTCGATTTTTCTGTTGTTGAAAATGAAGTAAAGAGTGATAAATTGTAGCTTACAAAATTGTACAAAGGCGTCTTAACAGATAAAGTGTTCGATTTCCATTCTTTCGTAAGGCAAATGCAGGACAGCCTAATCTACCGACCCTCGGTTATTCTGTTTAATTTCCTAGAAAACGTTTCATTGTATCATATTGAAGTTTCAAAATTAATATTAAAGTTCAACTTATTTAATTCAAAGTTACCGAAATTACGTGATGCTAACAATGGGCGCGAGGACGGAGTGGTGATTGTTTAGAACTGAACATGCGCCGAACTTCATATAGTGGTTCAGATACAGTCTCGATGCACATGGAGCTAACAAAACGCTGGCGAGACTCTTGTGCATGAAGCTGATGTACCATGACACGAACATGAATGAACTAAGTGCCATGATGATGCAGTAACAATGGGCCAGCTGTGGTCACTGGCACTACTGTCCACTTTGCTGCTGACCACACTGTGGTCCTTGCGTGGTGTTAGAGGGCACCTGAACTTGTTCATCAGTCAGGAAGAGGTCAGGAAGCTCCTAGGTAAGTAGGCCTCTCTCCCCGTGGGAGATTCCAAATTGTTCTTACAGTGAATATAGACATTATAGTGTTGGAGCAGTACACACATTTTTAGAAGATAACCTTGCTGCCTGTGTGTATATCTTTCTGTATCTATCTGTATATCTTTCTGTGCCTGTCCATCTCTGTGTGTGTCACTTTCTATTTTTTAGGGTTATGAGGCTTCTGAGATCATTTTGCTGTGTGTCAGCGTTTCCACCAAATTTTTTCGTTTTCTATGCAGTCCGTGTTAAAGAACTTCTTGTATAACAATACTGCAATTTTTATATCATGACACTGTGGCGATTGCCTGATATTCTGACATTTCGGTGAACTTACTCTTCTCCATTCTCAGGGTGAAATCTCAGCTTCTATATCTCAGGCGGCCTTTTTCTTTGAACCTTTCCGATCGCCATTCGGTATGAAATTGTTACTTCCTTTATGCGTGCTACGTACCTCACCTCTCTTACTTCAAACGTTCTAACAATATTAGGTGATGAGAACACATAAGTTTCACATTATGTAAGTTTCTCCAGTCCCTCATACTTCATTCTTCTCGGGTCCATGAACTGTTCCTTATAATACCATGCTGTTCCCAAACAATCTCATTATGTAAAAGCAAGTTCCACATCCATACAATATTACACAAAATTATAGTTTTAAATAGGAATATTTTAATCTCGAAATATCATAAAGCAGAAGATCGTAAGCATTTCCTAAATTTTATGTGCTTTTATTATAAAAAGCCGTCATATTTTACAAATTATAGATCGGTGGATATTAACATATGAAAATCACATAACACAATCCGAACAAACATTCAGAAACCAACAGTGCAGACTGTCAACAGATTATAATGTGCCAACAGTTGATATCGACACACGTGTCAGTCGTCACATACATTTCGAATGCTCTGTGTCATATTAGGGTAAATACCGAGTGTACATTTACCAGCTATAAACCGACATTTTTGTTTCTATCCACGTACGCTTTGGAAGAAACATTTACAGTATAGTGTGTATACTCTGCTAGAAGTTGGTGTAGGGGTTCAGCTAGAGGCAAAAGTAGAAATAAGTCTGCATTCATTACCACAATGAAGGACAAAATCTTAATGTAAAAGTATAGAATATGAGGATCTCACATCACTGGTTATGAAGAGTTCTATATTCTGAGATATAATTCCATCCAGTCCGTTGAAAATCAACCGATGTTTCAGAGAAATGTTTCATCTTCTTCTTCAGTGTTGAAGAATAAGCCACCAAGAAACCAGCATAAAGCAGGCACCAGCTTCATGCTGATTTTTTTTTCTGATTTACACTTCAACGTCAGTTCTATTTCAACAGGCTACGGTACATGACGATATAACCCAGAAGAAATAACTGTTCATAATCCAAAGATAGTTAATAAATTCTCCAAAATATACCAAAGTTCGAATATTTTAAAATGATTGTTGAAACATAAATTACACTCTAGATGAATTTTAAAGTTGATTAACTTTCAAGGAATGCCTGGCATTATTTGTTACAGATGTTGCCTTCAAACCCAGTACAATTTTACCTGTCGCTTATATAATTGTGAAACTTGGGCTGTTACCACAAGAGAAGGTGTACTTACTTACTTACTTACTTACTAGGGCCGCGCCATAGCTCAAGCGGTTAGTCGCTGGCTTCCCATCGAGGCGGCCCGGGTTCGATATCGGGTCTGGTCAAATATGATTTGTGATGGACAAAGTGGCGCTGGGGCAGGTTTTCTCCGAGGACTTCGGTTTCCCCTGCCAATCTTCATTCCACCAATTGCTCCACAAGCACCCTCACCTATCATCTGGGGCTGGTACAATAGGCCAGAAGTGGCCGCAGTACAGGGGACTTAGTCCCACCCCACTAGCAATAAAAGAAATACTGTCCGACTACAGAGTGCCGAGGAGAGCGTAAGAAGAGAGTGAAGCAAATTGCATGATGAGATCCTTCACAGTGGGCAGACCTAATGTTCAACACATACTAAGGATGTGTGAGAACTGTAACATGCACGGTGCAGCCAAGTCCTGGTGTCGGAAGAAGAATGAAAGAGGAGACTGCGTACGAGGTCTATTTGCATCACTTGATAGAAGACTGATGTCAGATTGGATGTTTAATATTAAGATATGTTGGTGTGGAATGAATTAAGCTGGCTCAAGGGAGCGTCCAGGGAGAGATCTTGTGAATATAGAAGTGAATCTTCTGAGTTCATAAAAGGAGTGTAAATTCTAGACCAATTAGGTAACTATCAGTTTATCAAATTATCTTCTGCTTGATACAGCCCTGTGAGGCAGTGCAAATAGCACAATAATATAGTTCTAAAATAATTCGAATAGTTTACATCCAGCATTAAATTATTCAACAGATGTCTCTCGTTCACCGTCTCATGTGCAAAGTGTCCTTCTAAAACTTATTTAAAAGTTTCTGTACATTGCACACTACATGTTTCGACCGCCACTGATCATCCTCAGGTGTCTAAAGTTGTTGGTGGAAACTGCTGCGCTTTCGTTTTGTACAGAAGCTTTCAAATAAGGTTTTAAAAAGGCACATTCTTTGTACGTGAACAAATTTTGAATAAATTTCAGAAGGACGCAATGAACGCGAGAGAGTGAACCAGTGACATTTGTTGAATGATAAACGATGTGAAACAAGAAGCCACAATATAATATTATCCAACATTAAAATTTAACGTTTTTCTTACGCCCGAAGAAATCTTCCAACGCGCAGAAGATGTGAGGACTGACGCCAAATCACAGAATTCAGCAAATGAAATTTCAAATTTATTGTTTTGAACCCTCTTGAAGTGTGAAAAACAAATTACATTTTTACATGTACCTTGTTGTTTCTCTGTTACTGGTTCCGTTGGCGAGAAGCATCGCATCGGAATCCCGCGCGAGGTGTACGAGTATATGTGTTTGAGGGACTTTATATCAGAGACTGTTTGCGAACTTCAACAGGTCTAGCAACGTCTATTCCAATCCCCCCACTTTCGGGCTACAAATAATTCTGAAACGGGTACATAACAATTTTGTATGTATCATTAGTTACTGCGTAAATCTGCTTCAGATAAAAATGTGTTACTGTCAAGGAAATCACACTGAAAATACCACCGCACAGATCTCTGTTTCTTGTATTTCTTAAATAATCAGTTTATGGAATTGCATTTAAAATAAAAGCTATGTACATTCTTTCGTACACAAATTCCACGTAATCAAAGTCGGATAGTTACAAAAGAAGGTTTCCTACCAAACAAGATATTATAAATAATATAATTCTGAAACATATCAGAAAGCTGTAGAGATCTAGCCTACAAAATACCACAGAATAATAAATCTGAGACTAGTAATAAAACATCTAGGTTTAATTCTATATGTGGTGCCATAAAAATAACCTGGAATAAGAAACCTTATCATTTTCTATAAGAAGGGAATGTGGAAGACCTGTAAAGCAAGTATTAAAAGGAAAACAACAGAGATGAGATTTAGAAAGACTTATAAACAAATGAACAGGCTAACTCCACGAAACACGGTCATTCTCCTGGAAATGATAGTTAATCATCTTGCCGAAAATTCCTCGATTTTTACAGAACCCATGAGTTTATTTCTAATTTACATACGAGCCAGCAACTGGACCGTCTACTCATCTAGAAGAATTGAGGCTACATTTTCAAACTCTATTTCTTAAGATCGGTTTAAATGTGTTCGCCCAATATACGTCTATATTTTTCAGGCTGTTTCTCCTTCCAGCACTCCAACTAATTCCTACGTGTAATTCTCACCTCTCCTATGCAAGCTGCGCCCTTTGCCCATCCTATCCTGCTTGATTCCTTCGCCCTAACAATATCCTGTGAAGAATACAGATTATAAAGTTTCTCTAATCTCGTGTTCATGCCCTTTTTCATGTCCAAATATTATCCTCGACATTCTATTTTGGAACACAATCATTTTTCTTCCATCATGGTGAGGAAGCAAAAAAGAGATGAATAAATTAATTGCAGTAACTTGGAACCAAGACAAGTGAGGAAATCTAATCCATGACATTAAGCGATTACAAGTGCACCCATAGCTCATATCACCAGGGCGTTTGCTCTGTCCAACGAGTCTGGAATTAAGAGACGATTTATCATAATACTCAAATTTGTTTAAATATCTCGGAAATCATAAAACTTATGAGGAACACACCTCAGATATAAAATACATATCGCATTTATCTCTGCAGCTTTTGTCGAAAACTTTTTTTGCAAAGAAAAATACTTTATAATTACTCTCGAGGTGCGAGCA